TTCAAAAGTAGAAATGTTTTCATTTCTGTCTCTGACAGTCCTCACCTCTGTGAATGAAAAATGCATTGAAAATAAATGCAAGCCAATAGCCGTTCCATTCTACAGAAATTGTGAGTCCAGTTGACCGTCTATGTGCAGATTATGGAGCCTATTTTACACTATTCAGTGCTCGACAAAGTAATTAGCTCCAGTTTGACTATTTGAGCAGACCGCTACAGTGATGCAGGGTGTTCAGAGCATGGTTTGTCCCCAGTCAACCTTTGCATAACTTGTGGCAATATAGTTTCACATTTCACCCTTTGGAAAGTTCCCAGGCTGGTAAATTTAAGAACAAAGGGCTGGTGCTGCAGATTTTGTAACTACTGAAAAATTAACTGTTCACAAGTATCTTACACTGCAGCACCATTATAAACCGCTTCTTTAAAGGATTTGGTTTTAACGCGTTTGCAGAGTGGAACCTGTTCACTCGCCGTGCATGCAGTGGACCCACTTGCTTCTTTTACAGTTACATTAATACAGTACATTTCAAATCGGGAGGACGTCTCAAAATGCTCGACAATGCTGAGCTTGGGGTGGGAGTCAAGTGGTTGGGGAAGGAAAAGATAACCAAAAGTGCGGTCAAAGAGGTAACTTTTTTGGGGGGCGGAATAGTCATCACAGGTTTGAATCCTGGTCTGTGTCAGGCAGCAATGGGAGTGTTAGATTTGGCATCAGTATCCTTGGATACTCACACAGATGATTGGGAGAGCAGGGTAAGTTAGCCTGGTTTTCCACTATCGCTGTCCAGTAGAAACCCTTGCAGGAAGTTGCAGGTATGAGGACAGGGCTCAACTCAACTGTGGTTTCCTCTTTCAGTTGAATCAGTTTGGTTTGGATACTCTTAGGCATAGGGATGGGTTTCCTCATGTGTCAGACACCCATCTGACAACCCCCCCCACCCCCCAAATGGTCACACATGAATAATGAGACTTTAATGAGGCTCCAGAGAGTGTCTGACATCTAGGGAACTGAACTCCATTAGAACAAAAAACAGGCAAACCACTCCAGGAGAGGGGTATGTAGGAGGGGGTCAAAGCTGGAAGAGGAAAATTGGCGAGTGAGAGAAAAAAAATCAATTTGACATCTGCAATGTCAAAATGTAATTACAGTCAAGTGACTACAGTGATTGTATTCGTAGGCAAATGTGGCAGCCAATCTACGCACAGCAAGGACCGCAAACAACCAATGTAAACCATAAAACGTACAAATAAATGCTTCACCTTAATAAAAAAACTGTTTATTACAAAGTCAGTCTTTTAAGAGAAGAACAGGAGGAAAGCTTTGCGGATGCCCAGCATTGCCTAAGGTTTTGCCCTGCCTGGGAATTGAACCCGGGTCCTCTTGTTTGCGAGGCGAGAGCGCTAACCACTATGCTACAGGACTCCACAATAATCCCTCCAAAGAAAATGTGGTCACCCAATCCACGACTGTTTGTAGGAAACTGCTGTGCGCAATCACTACACTTTACAGTGTATTTGAGACGTCTCGAAGACATGATAAGGCACTACATCAAAATGCAAGGATGAGGATTTCAGGCAGCCTTCCTACCAGCTTGGCTGGTGTCACGAGTTAAGAGATGGTCCACTAAGCGATATAATAATCCTGAGATTGGGAATGGGTGTCCTTTTTTTCCTGGATTGTAAACAAAGGGGCATTTGTTTTGTGAATCAGTAGCAAGCCACGTGCGCAGTAGTCCTCCAAGGACTTAAATGTCTGCTTTGCATTAGCTACAAAGGAGAAATCATGCTAGCCTCAGTTCACTCTTTTAGTTTAGAATCCTGTTGACATCAGCTGAGCAGATCACAACTTGCACCTAACCCCAAATTCATGGCTCCTTTGAGCAGAAATTTACCTTTGGGGAGAAATTCCACCATAAATTCTACTCAGTTTATGTAGTATTTTGGAGCCAGTTTTCTATAATTCTCTTGATTTGCCAGATTCTAGACTCTCTAAAATGCTATATAAATAGCTTAAATCTAGAGCCAGGTGGAATTTCTTCCAACACATGGGTGTGTCGCCAGAGTATAATCCATCTTTTCTCTCACACAATAGATTAATATGAAATCCTATATGTAGTTTAGAAAAGAAGACTGAGAGAATGAATGGAATTTAAACACAGCACATACTGTGAGGCCATATGAGGTTTGATTGCATATGTTAGGTTTGAAAGTACCTGTGGATCTGATTCAGAAAAGTTTCCCCGAGATAGTATAAAGTGTTCATCTAAGTGAATTTACCTGTAAGGTAAATAGATTACAGAAGTCCTCTCTCTCTTTCACTCACTAGTCCTAAACTGAACCTGTAAAAAGTTGCTGAATGATACATTTATTTCTTGCTTTTTGGGAAACATTGTGAACCTGGTAATCTCTGCAAAGAGCCACTAAATATTTTTGCTAGCATTAGAGCTCCACTTCCACATTGCATGTCTGAGACGTCCTACTAACTGAGCCAAACTGAATTATCTTGTGACACTCTAAAAGGAATGTACTGTATTTCATTACATCAACAATACCTTACATTTATGTAGCACCCATCACATGGGATAAGGTTGTGAACTGCTGAATGTATAAGTGATGTAGCGCTTTTCACGTCTTCTAGACTCTCAAAGCGCTTCACAGAGTATATTGTAAAGTGAATTGACTATATATTTGTGGGTGAAACATGGCAGCCAATTGCGCACAGCAGTGTCCCACAAACAGTCGTGGATTGAGTGTCCAAATTATTATTGTTTTTTTTGAAGGATTATTATCAGGCATGTTGAGTAAGGAAACTTGCCCAAGGTTTCGCCCTGCCGGGAATCGAACCCAGATCTCTCGCTTGCAAGGCGAGTGCTCTAACCACTGAGCTACAGGACTCCACATCAACTCGATGTTGATAAAACAAGTCGCTGTCTTATTAAGTCATGAACACTTTAAAATGCTGGGAATAAATGGGAGTTCTGAAGTGCAAGTCCATTTGTTTTGAGTTCGGGAGACTCAATTGTATTCAAGTAATCAGAATTCAGAACTGACTGCATTTGGATAAATGTAAATTTTGACAGGGGAAAAAAAAAAGCTAACAGTTGCAGAAAGAAAATATTTGGGTGTACGCCACCCTTTTCTGTGTCCTACCAATAGTTTCCATTCAGCTGTCCTAGCTGTGGCTGAGAAATGCTGAAATGCAGAGACTGCTACATGTTATGGTGGTTCAGTGGTGAATGCAAATGTTTGTGATGGTTTTGTGGTGTGGTCTGTTTTCCATAGGAGTTTACCAGTTGTGTGTGCTGGTGGCCAATTTTAGCCTGGTTGGTCATGTATCCGATTCCATTAGGGTCGGGTTGGTGGAAATTGATTTTATATTTTCTGATTTTTGTTTGATGTTGATGATTTTTTAAAAAATTCTCGAAGTCATGATAAGGCACTATATTAAATGCAAGGATGATTATTATTATAAATGACCTATTCAACATTTTCTGCCCCCACTCTCTGGTACTCCATCCCGGAGTCCCTTCACCTTGCCCCTTCCCTTGCCTTCTTCAAGATCTGTCTTGAGACCTTCCTCTTTGACTGCACCTTCGGTCATCTTTCCCACAACCACCTCCAGATCGGGTGCAAATCCAGTGCCTTGGGATGTCCTCCAGACATGAAAGGCAGATTGTTGTTGTTGCCATTTGCCATGGATATCTCTTCCTAAGTGCTTCTACATGTGCTAACTGCATAAGAAGTGATTCCTGTGAAACCTGACAACTGGGGTAAAAATCTTTTTATCAATGACATTTTATTTTTGTTGTGTTGTGGCATATCGCAAATATCGATGACTATTAATGTGTACTGATTTTTATCATTTTCCACCATCCCTCCTTATTGGTAATGTTTGGGGGAGATACTTGCATTCGGGTTCCATGTGATGGTAAGTGCCTAGATTCCGTATGGTGCGAGGAATACTCTAACTCATCTTGCAGTCATCATGAATTCTTCAGATACGCACAATATGAAATTTAGACTCTTTGAAGTACAAATATATCTAGGGACTGATCCATGCTTACTTGATGGGCTGGTTTGTCTGTTACCAAGTGGATGTGGAGAGTTTGTATAGGGTATTTTGAAACATAATCTACTTGGTTCTTCCTCCGCCACAATTGTCTTTCTCAGATTTTGAAACCTCAGAATGTTCATGTTAACAAAGAAGGCAGTGATGATGAAGGCAGTAACTGAGATGGGAAGTTAAACTAATACTGTGTTTTCAGCAGATTGGTGTGAAAAGTGCAATAAAATTGAGATTCAGCAGAGAGATGCCAAAGCAAACCATGCTGGAACACTTCTGTTATATCAGCTTGGGGCAGTACCTACAATTCATACCAACTACAGCTTGGCCATGTATCTTGCTTTTTGTGAAGGAACACTTCTTAAAACACTTCACACAAAGGTTTGGGAGCCCAAGGAGCATGGGAAATGGGGAGAGGAATAAGAGGTTACCAAAGACACAGTCAAAGAGGTAGGTTTTAGAAGGGTTTTAGAAGCAGGATGCGAAGCGGAGGGCTACATGGATAAATTTCCAGAGTGCAGGGGCAAAATGGAGTGGGTGAGGGACATGAGTTAGCAGAATGGAAAGAGTGGGAATACTACAGGAGATCGGTCGCAAGGGTCTGAAAAGTTTGAAAGTTCGAATGAAAATTACCATTGGCGTGTGGGTGCCAGTTGATTTCAGCTCTGTTAACCAATGATCCCTTAAAACAATGCCATTAAGGGCTCTGCTTCAGTAGTTTTAGTAATAATATTAACAATAATAATCCATGCATTTGATGTAGCGGCTTTCAGGAGGAGTCTCAAAAGAGCTTCACAAGACTTATTGTAATGTGTAGTTGCTCTGTATTTACAAGCAAACACCTATCACTTATTGAGGTCCTTGCTATCAGACAATGGGCAAAGATAATATGGAAACTCTCTCTAATCCTGTGCTTCTAATCTTTTGTTGTTTGATAGTGTTCTGGAGTGTCGGGACTTACCAATAGTGAATGGACAGTGTGATCCTTATGCCACAGTTACTTTAACAAGTCCATCCAGGTAAAGTTTCTTTTACTTTCATTGCATATTCTGTGTAATTATTCTTTTCTTATAAAAATGCAATTTATCAGGAAATGAACTCTCATGTCGGGAGAGGGCACCCAAATTGGGGTGGGAGCCGAGGGGAGTGGGAAGTGGAAAGATGCTGAAAGCACAGTCAAAGTTCATGTGAAATATTTATATTGGATTACACCTGTGTTCTCACTGAAGTGTTATTTTTACACAGGACTGTAATGATAACTTGTCTCCTCTCTTGCCTTTCAAAGTCTGTCCAAAAATGTCTCTCTTTGACTGGACTTTCAGCCAGCTCCCCCCTACCCCTTCTCTTGTTCTCCCAGCTTGGACTTCCACTCAGTCTTTGTAAAGTGCTTTGAGGCATGAAAAACATCACATAGTGCAAATTATTGTTGTCTTGATTCTTAAAACTACGGATGCGTTTTTGCAGTGTCCAGAATGCATCTGTTTTCTTAGTTCCTTCAGCTCTTGTTGTATCTGTCCTGCAGAAACCAAGCAAACCTAGTGAGTGATGGTTTGTGACATTGCTGCTTTACGTCTTTGACCTGACTGAAGACAAACACACAGAGCAGGAAGCTTTACCTGCAAGTAGGGTTTTAGTTAGTAGCTTGGTGAAGAATTGATCGAAGTTAACCAGAACCTGTGACTGCAATGTTGAAAAATAGACAATAGTTATGCGTTTCCTACTAGGCTTCATTGGTTACTGAAATATTCAATCTTACCTGTTTCAGCTTGCATTAAGCCTCAAACGTCTGAGTGCTCAGCAGAGCATCTAAATCTTGTCTTGTTTGCTTGGAATCTCAGCACCGCTTCATAGAAAAAGCTTTGACTTTTTTTCTGGTTGGTAGGTCAGAGGTGAAGAAGACAAAAGTAAAAAGAAAGACCACCAATCCTCAATTTGATGAAGTTTTCTACTTTGAGGTAAGTACTTACTTGGGACAGGCTGTAATTCCCGCTTATAGGGAGTTTCATGTGAGAACGTGGGCACTTCTCCAGTTTGAAAATCGATGATAAGTGTTTTTTGCAGTAGATTCCCAATATAAAATGATATTAAATCACACTGCTGACAACTTAAAACAAAATCCTTCAAGTATACAGTTTTTGTTGATGACTTTATAAATGTTGATGTTTATAATTGTTTAGAAATGTTCAATCCATGTGTTTGTAGGAACACTGTTGTGCACAACTGGCTGCCGCGTATCGCCCACAAAACACACAATCGCTACGCTTTACACTATAGACATACCCTTCAGCGTTGGTGTTTGGGAGTGTGGGAACTTTTGAGGTGACTCTTCAAGTGGCTTTGTTCCCTTTGAACTTCTACCCACAGCTCAGAATATGAATACTAAAACCTGCCTTTCATGTTGCAATGCCTGTTAACGATTTTGAGGGTGCACATGAGTGTGAAATCATCTCAATTCTAAAACATTGGAAGCTATTTCAGCATATTCAGTGCTTTAGAAATTTGATAATTACACATTTCTTGATAATATCTATAAAGAAAACCTATAGATTTATTCCCAATATCAGCATTTTGCCCAAATTTATATTTTTTGCTAACTTTGGTACATGATTTGCATGTTGTAGATGGTAGATGTTTTATAGCATAACTCAATTTTACACATTCAAAGGAAACTGCTTTGCTTTATAACAATATAGGTCAGTTGCTGTACAAGAGTGGACTTGAATACAGACCAGCAAAAGTTCAGGGAGTGAATATAAATGTGCTTTTAACATATAAATGTGGAAATCTACAGGCAGAAAGAGGCCCTTTTTGTTCTCTCTCTTCTCCCTCTGTGCATCTTCTCATTTTGCTCTTTCCAATGTGCCTATGTGTTTCCTTGACTTGTCTATTTATGGCATTTTATGGCGGGTTTGCTTCGGTGCTGCTGTGCTGTCTGCTAATCTCTTTACGGGTTTACCTCTGCCCTATCAGTGCCAACCTCCTGCTTCCTAAAGGGAGAAATAAGCTAAAGAGGAAACCATAGAATACTGAGATAGAAATAGAAACAAATAAGAAAAGATAACGCACAGTACAAGAGGAAAAGAATTACACAAGAGAAGAGAAAACTAAAAGTAGAAGTGGTATTGGGTTATTACCTTCAAAGATAAGCATGTTGGATTCAGAGTTTTCAAGACTCAAGTTTAGCTATAATAATCATAGAAGCTATAGCACAAGAAGCCATATGGCCCATCAAGCCTGTGTTGGTACTTGCTCAATTCAGTGGAGCTAACTACTCTATAGTGAATTATCTTAGCACATGTTTGTCCAGAGGCTGAATATTGAGCCGCAATGTGACTGTCAAAATATAATGAGCAGCAAGTGCTGTAGCAGTGTTGTGGTTCAGGTTGCCCAGGAGGACTGCAATGCTTGAGCAGCCTGCGGTGGTAGTCATTTAGTACTACAGCACCACTGTTTACGTATCTTCCAGGACTTGATTTGACTAGACTTTCCTGCAGGCCCAGGCCCCTTGCTCCCCCCCCGCAGAAAGCAAGAGACCATTTGACAAGCAACTTATTTTGAAGCTCCTGATCGCTATCAAGTTGTGGTACCATCATTAATGGGGCAGACTCTGAACTGCTGACTAATCTATTAGGCAAATTAGTCCTAGTGTTTTTTGAATCAGGTTTTGTTTCCAGCTCGGCATACACGTGTCTTTATATCGGGTTTGTCCAAGGGACGCCAGCCATTTTCACTTAAAAATAAATTACGAGTCAGCTGTTTGAAGAAAACACCAATCTGCTAAGTATTCTCAAAGCGAGCTGCCCTGAGACAGCTCTTCTGTTGCAAAAGTATTTGCAGCCAGTTATTTTCTGCTTGTTCACTGCAGATTGTTTATTAGAGTTCAATTTCAAAATGATGTGGAAACATTTCCTAAAATGTGACCAATTTTTCATTGATCAAGAGCGAAATCTCTACTTTTGCACCTTTGGACGAGTCCTTGTACTATTAGAATCATCTGGTTTGACGAGGGAAAAGAAAAGTGGTAAAGCTGCGGGATTCAAGTTTAATTTCATCCAGGAGTGCTTGTGGAAAATAATGAGCTCCTGAAAATATTCCAATAAAATGTACCCAGTTTTGGGGATATCAGAGTGTGCATAGGTGATTACAGTATATTGTTTACTTTCCCTAGCTTCATTTTATTTAGCTTATAGTTTAAAAAAAAATTCTATCTACATTTTGATAGTGTACTGTTAAAAAGATTGAGAAACAGACCATGACAATATAATTGTATATTGTGAAGACTTCCAAGCAACAGGAGATTTCATGTTTTTCCATGGAGTGGCAAATCTGCCTTGGTATAAAGTAATAAAAACTAATTTGGGAATTTAAAGGTGAAAAATCCATTTGAAAACCGAGAACCCTGAGTCTAAGGTATTTCCCCTGTAATGTTCACGTGTCTGCATCTCCCTTGTGCATGTCTCTCATGTTGTGTTGCTATTGCTGGTGGGGAAGTAACTTTGTTTCAGTAGTGAGTCTCACCAAATGTTGCATTGGCAACTACTCACTGTTGCTTTCCTCGCATTTGACCTGCAGGCCCGTCATCATGCAGGAACTACATTTGCTGCTTACCCCTGAGAAGAGAACTTTTTTTAATATAAACAAAAGGTTCTTGCTATTTTTAATTGCAGTTAGCCTAGTTAGTTACTCTCTTTAGTGACAGTCGTTCTATTAATAACGTTAGAGGAATGCAATCCTTAGCTGCTAACGGTGGTGTGACAAGATACGGGCTCTTGTGTTGGTGGTGGCTTGGCCTTCTTCTTTGGGAATCAGGGACGAATTGAAGAATTTTCCAGGGAATCTTTATTCTCTACCCACCCCCACCCACACACACCCACACACACTTAGCCATTTTGGGTCTTGCTTTCCTCTGTTTGTTGCCTCTTTATTGGGAGGGAACTGAGTGTCCAACAACAGGAGAAAAGTGTGTTGGGTGGGATATGGAATGAGGCGTATTATCCCAAGATGGGCATCTCTAGGACTTTTTCTGCTCTTTCCTGTGAATATCTACAGTGAAGCCTTGGTATAACGTGGTGTTTGGGATTTTATGGATCCCAACCACTGCCTTATAATGAGATGTCAGAGTCGGTTTCACATCGACTGGTTCCTGCACAAAGCAAGAAGTGATAACTTGATGACCTGGAAGTTGGCCCTTAAGTTCAGTGCAGGAAGCTAAAATGACTTAAAAAGAATTGTAAAATGCTGCTTCCAAATTAAGAATATTCCAATATTCTACACAATTTCTTAAATTTTAAGACAATTAACCTAAGGCAAGGGCCATGAGGAATTTTAGGCTTCTGGAACATTTGCAGTATAATCTTGATTGACACGACAGTCCCTCAAACAAAGCAATACTTGAAGCCTACAATAAGCTTTACAAAGATCTAGCTAAATAACCGAGAACTAGGCAGCTCTCGCCACAAGACCACACCCCAGTAAAAAGTAGGTGACCTCCACTGAACCTCAAGCAAGCAGGAGCTCTTATTGCAATGATTAATCTAGAACTCTCATGACCCCCACTTGTGTCTTGTCCTCTTTTGCGAGCTGGTTGTGTTCTCACTGCTGTTGTATGCAATACAGAGTTATTAGATCACCATCTGAAAACTAAGTAATGAATGAGTTATTGTGGATGTTACAGAATTGGACACAGGGTGTTGTGGCTGATGGTTCAGCCCACAGTGGTGGGGCAAAGACAGTGGGGAGTGAGCCATAGACCAGAATCATAAAAGTGGAGGGTATTATGGTCTGGAGAATGCAAAAATTTAATGGATCGAGACTATGTAGAAATTTGAAGATCAGGAAACCAAACACATACTAGCTTCTAATTTGATATTCATGTATAATTTATTATCAATATAGTATACTGTATAATTTCTACCTAAATAGCATCTTTCGTGTTGGGAGGACGTCTCAAATCACTTGACAGTCCAGAGCTTGGAGAAAGGAGAAGAAAGATATATAGTGGCATTTGCTTATATAAAATGCATACATGGAGGAGAAGAGAATACGGGTGAGGGGATTAAGGGGTGGGGACTCCTATGGAGTATAAACACTGGCAAAGACTTGTTGGACTGAATGGCATATTTTTGTGCTGTAATATTCTATGTAATATTGTATTTCTTCTACATTAGTATAAATACAGATTAATCAATATTTAGCCTAACAGTGTGATTATTAAAAGGTAATTTTAGTAATTTTGTGCAAATCCAATAAATATTCAGCTTCTGGCCTTGATTACTAAATCTGATCTTTGTTAAACCAGACGAGCGGTAGACATGGTGTGGCAACCAAAGAGGAAGAATGGGAATTTTCAAGAAAATCTTGGTTGTACCTTGTGCAGGCAACCTCACCAACAATGCATGGTGCAGCCTCACCAACGATAATAATAATAATATTCCTTGCATTTGATATAGCGCTTTTCACGTCTTCTAGACATCTCAAAGCGCTTCACAGAATAGACTGTAAGGTGAATTGACTGTATATTTGTGGGCGAAATGCAGCAGCCAATTGCGCACAGCAGTGTCCCACAAACAGTTGTGGATTGAAATGACCAATTTATTATTTTTTTGAGGGATTATTATCAGGTATGTGGAGTAAGGAAACTTGCCCAAGGTTTCGCCCTGCCGGGAATTGAACCCAGGTCTCTCGCTTGCAAAGCAAGTGCTCTAACCACTGAGCTACAGGACTTCACCGAGGTGCAGCCTCACCAACAATGAATGTGGCAGTTCGCTCATTAAGCTGCACAGAAAACCCATCTCTTGCCCTTGAACTCAGTCTGACTTAGATCCTTATTCTTCTCTATAAATGTAATTTTGTTGTTGTTGTTGTTCCAGATGTGACCTAACATTTCACTTGGACTTGTTCTGTAAGACTATTTTGTCTCAAAATTTAAAACCACACAGAATTGTGGAAACATTTTCAACTTAGCCTTAATTTAGAAGCTGTTGTTATCAGTTCATAAAAAGAAACAGTTTCCAATATTAAGCCTGTGTTTTTTTAAAAAAAAAGAATTTTCCACTGTTCTGGCAATCGTAAATTTTAAGACAAAATGGTCATACAGACAAAGACTAGGTGGAATTTTAGCACAGAATTTCTATACGTTCATATGTGCATCTTCCAAAGTCTGTTCTGTTCAACATTGAAATTATGTGACTCAGCTGCGTGACCAGATCATGTTCGGAACAGCACCAGTGACTGCTGATGAACTTTGGCTCCAATTCATGTTTGGTCTGGTCTGGCCTGAAGGTGGCAGCAGTGTTGTATTATTGGGTGGTTCTAAGCTTTGCCCAGGCGTTTTTGCTCAGCTTTGTGGTTTGGTGGCAGAGGATGTGGTGTTGGGGAGTTCATCCAGACAGATTCTTAGGGTGTGGCCCTGTCAGAAGGGTTGTTTACGTGGATGGCTTTCACACATATGTTGTGGGCTGGTAATGTTTTTTTCCTGTTAATCAGCTCTGCATCTAAGAATTGCGCCTATACTGCTCTGAAGTCGCTGAACACTAAACAGCTAGTCTGTCTGCGCACTCTCGTTACTTTCACCAGCTGCCCAAATATCTTTTAGAGACCAGTTATTTAACTTCAAATTATAGTTAGACATTCTGATGATTAAAGATAGCATAAATGTGTAAAACGAGACGCTTCCATCGATCAAACTTATTTCCCATTCGCTTGTCCTTCCCTCGCAGGTGACCAGACCGTGCAGCTACAGTCGGAAGTCACATTTCGATGTTGAAGAGGAACATGTTGACAGGATGGAGATCAGGTAATAAACACACACTCCTTTCTGGTGAACGCATGATATTGCTACAAGCGTTTTTAAATTCTCAAAACTGAGTTAAATAACATTGAGGTGATATTTATGGTCCTCGGGATAGTTAGTATGTTGAATGGGCCAAAGGCAGAGCCCTCCCCCCTCTGCTCCCCTTCCCTCTCCCGGCTCTTCTCTGTGATAGAATTTGAGAAGGCAGGTCTGTGGTTTAGATGTTTGGCTTTGCCTGCCAGTTGGGGAGTGCTACCTAGTTGAAGATGGTGTCTTTCAGATGAGATTAAAAGTGCGCTCCCCTCTCCCTTCTCTGCTTGTTCAAGTGGACGTTACACATCCCTGGGTACTGTTTCTAAGCAGTGTTCTTACCCAGTGCATATTTTGCACACATTGTCCTGATCAATGTTCCTCCCTCACCTAAAATTTTGTTTGTGGGACTTTGCTAGTGCAGCTTAGGTGTCACACCTTCCCTCATAACAATTACTATACTTCAACGTAACAACACACTGTGCAAAACCCTTTACGATGTTTAAGGTACTGCTAACAGATGCATGTATTTATTAATTGTTAGAGAAGGGAGAAAGCAAGAGGATGCTACTTGACAGGTGGATGAGGCTGAAAGAGGAAAGGGTGTTTTCACTACCAGTAATATTTGTTGCATTTGGGGAAATGCATAGAATAGATGCGGCCAGGCTCGGTTACAAGTATTCTCACCTCTTGAGTCTGAAAGTTTTGGGTTCAATCCCCACTTAGGGAATTGAGCGCATAGACTTGTGGCAGACACAATGTACTGCTAGGTTGTGATGCATTATTAGAGGTGCCATCCTTTGGGTGAGTTGTTAAACTTAGGTCCCTGACTGCCTGTTCAGGTGGAAATTTCAGATCCCACTATTCAAAAAGAGAAGAGAGTATCTCCTGGCCAGCAATTTTCCAGGTAAAATTGGTCATTCAGTTCAGAGTTTCTTAGTTATCATAGCTAAGTGCAAATTGACTGCCACGTAATTTTGCCTACAAAATACAGTCACTAGACTCAAGAGTACAAATCCTGCAAAGCAATTTGAGACTTCTAGACAATGTGATAAGGTGCTATATCAAATGCAAAGTTATAATTATTATTATTATAAATGTCGAGAATTGTGAATGTTATGATTTGAATAAGGTTATTGTACAAAAGCAGATCAGGTTCTTCCTTGATCTGCTCAAGAGATGAGTCACTGTGGAAGAATCTCTTGAAAAGACTTGGGCTGGTGAAATTCTGTGGTGGCAAAATTTAGTGACCTGTTTGTTTTCTGAGAAGGCAGATGTTCTGTTACTTGAAATCTGCAGGGAAAGTTGATGTAATCAGTTCCCTATTTTCAAACAAGTAACAGACATGCTACATTACTGGGGAGTGTGTATTCAGGACTTGGGGAGGACTTGGCCAGGCAGCAAATTTCCCTCATTTCCATCTTTCTTTTCCTGCCCCCTTTTTGGGGGGCATTTTAGAAATCAATATATTTACATTTAAAATATCATACGCATGCTTTTTTATTGTTTCATTCAATAGTTACTAATCTATAAATTAAATGAATGAAAACTGAGCACTTAGGACTCACTGGAACAAGGGCTCCCCCTGATGGAACTGGTAGTATTTTAATTGGCAATATCCTGCCACAAAGAAAACAAAACTCCACTGTGGGACTCTCAAGCCAGGGTGTGGGGACAATCAGTGTTAAACCGTTTTCCAGTTAAATGCATTCACAGCACAATTACAGGCAAATTTGTTAGAAAGTATTTTGGTGAAAACGGGTTCACGGAGTTCTGTAGCCCAGTGGTTAGAGCACTCGCTTTGCAAGCGAGAGACCTGAGTTCAATTCCAGGCAGGGCGAAACCTTGGGCAAGTTTCCTTACTCCACACGCCTAATAATAATAATCCCTCCAAAACCCAAAACAATAATAAATTGGTCATTTTCAATCTACGACTGTTTGTGGGACATTGCTGTGTGCAATTGGCTGCCGCGTTCGCCCACAAATATACAGTCAATTCACTTTACAGTGTGTTCTGTGAAGCGCTTTGGGACGTCCTCCCAACGTGAAAAGCGCTATATCAAATGCAAGGATTATTATTATTGCCTGTAGCTTGGACCTAGTGTAGGTCTACAACAACAACAACTTGCATTTAAATAGCATCTCAGGTCCACTATACCAGAAGCACAGTGCACCCAGACCAATATCTTGATTTCCTGTGCACTGTACAATAGGGTGAAGAATTATAGTGTGGTGTACACACCAAACCAAAAAGGTAACGTTCAGCTATAATAACAAACATCTCCTAATTCTAACCAGCTAAAACTGCATAGCACTGCATAGCATTGAGAGCACTGTCGAGCAGGTTTTTCCACTGTTTGTCCACTTAGAATTACCCTCCTGTAAGGGCTTTGGCTTTCAGGGAGCTGAGTGGGAGTGAGTGAGTACTGCATTACCAAACATGTCATCTTGAAGCCAGATTCCATTTCTCTCATTGGACTCCTAACTTTTTAAAAGGTTTTTGCATCTTGAAAATCATATCCTTATATGTTTGTGCTCATCAACACTGGCCCTCACTATTCGTGCATTTAGATGTTTTTCATTCAATTTGAGCCAAGCTTGCAAATCATTTCTTCAGATCAGGTACTGGATTCTTTAGGCTGGAAGCTTTAATCCTTGCATTTGATATAGCGCTTTTCACGTCGGGAGGACGTCCCAAAGCGCTTCACAGGACACACTGTAAAGTGAATTGACTGTATATTTGTGGGCGAACGCGGCAGCCAATTGCGCACAGCAATGTCCCACAAACAGTCATAGATAGAAAATGACCAATTTATTATTGTTTTTGGTTTTGGAGGAATTATTATTAGGCTCTGTGTGGAGTAAGGAAACTTGCCCAAGGTTTCGCCCTGCCTGAAATTGAACTCAGGTCTCGCTTGCAAAGCGAGTGCTCAACCACTGGCTATAGGACTCCACTGCCATTTGTGTGTGGGATTAGTAATCGAATCCCTAACTACTGCTCTAAATTTGACCAATTTCACAAGTAAAAGCAAGCACAGAAATAGGATTAACTTCTTTTAGGTTCAAATTATAGAGCTGTTGGCTTGTCTGATCTGCCTCTTTATTTTTGTGTCTTATGACCTGAGCCAATAGAAAATTATGGAAACATTTGCCAAAAATTGCAGGGCATTTGACAAATTTTGCGGGACAATGTGGAGAAATACACAGCTGGTATTTCTATCGTGGTTCACCCATTAGTGGGTGAGTAGCGGAGGAGGTCGTTAGTAGGGAATTCCGTGCAAAAAGTGCGGCCGGACGTTTCTAATGGCCCTGTTTATGACATTTGGACAGCTTTTGGATGATTTAAGAACAGAGGGGGGCGGAGGAGGGGAAAGACAAATGTGCACATTTCTTACTTATTTTTGTTGACCATTTCACCTTATTGATAGAAGCAAACAAGTCCAATCCTTCTATATGTTGAAAAAAATCATCTTAAACAGAGTTCTAATTTATGAATTGGGACGCAATACAGTACACTAATACAATTTACATTTATATAGCCCCTTTCACGTCGGGAGTATGTTTCAAACATAGCCACAAAAGCTACTAAAGTGATGTCCTCAAACCAAAAAGATGATTGTCCAGCCAGAAAGTGACAATGAATCCACTGCTGAATTGTGCTCACAGCAACATGACAGCTGTACCTGTATTGCTCGCCTGCTCTCATTGCCATTGTCTGTTACGCTTGTGTACATTAGACATAAAAATCTAGAGAGTGTTTTAATAACCTGCGCTTCTGTGTAAAATACTTATTTATTCTCAATTTCACTTTTAAGTCTTAAATTTGGTGGAAAGCTGGTGGTTTAATGCATTACCGGGTGGTGCATTTGAATGCTGAGCACATAATTACAGCATCAGGTATCAGTGCAAACAAGGTGTTACTCGAGTCATTACTGATTGCTATCAACGGTTTTATTTTATACTGCTAATCCACTTTTGTACACCACACATTGATGTATTACCTAGCAATTCGTTTACCTAGCAATGAGTTAATTGTCTACAGATACAGCTTTTGTGACTGCTAATCCTCCTGTAAAGAGCTATGTGACTCGTTGTGGGTTTTACACAACAATGCTTGTTCCTGCTTATTTTGGACCTGGAAGGAATATATGTTCTTACTGCTTTAGAACAGTAACCTTTAACTCCTGAAATCTGAGTTTGGATCCAGTGCATGTTGATTAGATATTTAACTCAGTGAATGAACCAGGGCATATAATTTATTGATAATAATGATGATAAAAATTATAATCTTTACATTTTCTGAAGTATATTGGTAGACGAGCTGAACGGGGATAAATCAAGCAGATACCTTACAAAATTACAGTTGGATATTATGAGCAAGCACAAGCTGGTGAAATAGAAAATGTCATGACAGAGTGAATTGGTATTGCTAGAAAAGGAATTGGATTAGGCATCCTGCTTAATAATTATCCTTGATATAGCACTTTATCACGTCATCGAAATGTCTCAAAAGTGCTACGAAGTATTTGTCCCGGCTCCTTCACCCTCCTCCGCCCACCCTCTCACACTTCGCCCATCCTCTCCTCTAACTGCGAGGAAATACTGGACTTCCTCGAAACCAAAGTTGAGGGGATCTGCTCAGCTGCCTCTGCCCTTCCAACTACTACCCCCTCCCCAACTCCCCCTCACACCCTGACCCCTACCCATCCCTCCCTCCACACAATCGAACCTGTCTCGCCCTTCTCTCACCACCACTATAATCCACGTGAAATGGACCACCTGCTTCCTCGACCCCATCCCTACCCCTTTCCTTACCTCCAAGCTCCGCCTCCTTGCCCGACTACTCACAGACATCATAAACTTCTCCCTGTCCACTGGCACCGTTCCCACCCCTGTAAATACGGCCATCATCACTCCTATCCTTAAAAAAACTTCCCTGGAACACAGCACAGGAACACGTTTTGGTCAAATTGACAAATTACATTTTGTCCATCTGCAACCAGGGCTCCCTCTGCCTCCTCGTCCTCCTGGACCTCTCTGTTGCCTTCGACACCATCGACCACTCTATCCTCATCCATTGCCTCTCCTCTCACCGCAATGTTTCTGTCCTTGAATGGTTCAGATCCTACCTCTCTCACAGTCTACACTTTATCTTCACAAACGGTTTCTCCTCTAACCCCCGCACTATCTTGTGTGGGGTTCCTCAGGGCTCTGTCCTTGGTCTCCTCCTCTTCAATATCTATATGCTCCCTCTTGATGACATCATCCACAGACATGGTGTCGAATTCCACATGTATGCGGATTACGCCCAACTCTACTTCTCTGCCTCCACCCTCAATTCCAGGACCAATGCTGTCCTGACAAAATGTCTGTCAGACATCAATTTCTGGATGAGAGCTAACTTTCTACAGTTGAACATCAAAAAGACAGAGGCCCTCCTGATTGGCTCCCGTCAGCGCCTCCACACCTCAGGCACTGACAGCATCACCATCCAAGGATGCACACTCCACCTCACTGAGCCAGTCCGCATCCTTGGCGTCTTGTTTGACCCTCAACTATCCTTTCTGCCCCACGTCCCTGCCATGACCCGCTCTGCTTTCTTCCACCACAGCAACATTGCCCGGCTCCGCTGCTGTCTCATACCACAGGCCACTCATACACACAGTCATAACATTCATGCTCGACTACGCAAACTCCCTGCTTGTTGGCCTCCCCAACTCCTTCATAGCCTACAGATCATCCAGAACTTTGCAGCTCAGTGACCTCTTCCGCACCAGGCTCTCCGACCCTAAAATCTCCATCTTTGCCTTATTCCACTGACTTCCCATCACACAGAGGATACAGTACAAGATCCTGGTCCTCACCTTCAAAGCCCTCCATAGCCGTGCTCCCCACTTCTTCTACCCCCTCCTAATCCCCTACCATCCTGCTCGCTCCCTCCGCTCAGTGGACTCCAGTCTGCTTCACGTCTCCCGCCTCGCCCGCACCACCATTGGTGGTGGGCCTTCAGCCACTCTGCCCCCATCCTCTGGAGCCCCATCCTGCAGTCCCTCCACCTCGCCCCCTCCCTTGCCTCCTTCAAGACCTGTCCGAAGATCTTCCTCTTCAACCGTGCCTTTGGTCACCTTCCTTAACCCCCTGCCTTCCACCCTCCCCAATCTCGACCCTCAGCTTGGGTCTGAAACACTGATTGTCCAGCACCTTGGGACATCCTTCCAACATGAAAGGCGCTATACAAGTGGAATTTTGTTTGTTGTTGTCCGTTTGTTGCTTCATCTAGGGTTGTTAATGTTCTTATCTTTCAGGGTCGACCTTTGGAATGCCAGTAACCTGAAGTTCGGGGATGAATTCCTTGGAGAGCTCCGACTTCCTTTGAAGATTCTGAAGCAGTCCTCTTCCCATCAAGCATGGTAATCCTTTTTACTGAGAACATTTGGTTCCCTTTGATTTATTGGGATTTGTTGAAAAACTGTAAAGATGGGTGACTCTATGTAATTGGACCAGCAGCAACAACAGCTTACGTTTATACAGCTTTCTTCATGCAGGGTTGAGTTTTGGAGCACTCAAATAAAGCAGTCATTGACACATGTTAGCCAACTGCTGTAGCAGATTGGAATCAATGCCAGTTTTCTATTGTGTGTTTGACCTTGCTCTGGGGCAGGCCTACTCTTATCAGCAAACCAAAACTCAGTTTGCGTGAGTTGCTTCCAGCAGCAGAATGAAAAGGAGCTTCACAAGAGCAAAATAGGCGATTCCGATCCTAACCCAAACCCAGGTCCTCTGGCTTGCGAGGTGAGTGCTCTAACCACTAAGCTACAGGAGACTGAGTCCAAAGAGGCATTAAGTTGTTCTTTCTTCTTCTTAAATTGCAGTGATGGGAGGAGCGACGAACAGTAAACCTTTTAATGCAGTACCACTGCAGTGTATATGTTCTACCATTGGATGTTCTTGATTTATTTGGTTTTAATAGTGATTCTAAAACAAAGTTCTTTCACAGAAGGTTTTGTATCTGTTTTGCCAATGAAAAAGTCCTCTTTTTTTCTTTATTACAGCAAATACCTAGCTTCATTTTGTTTCACATGAAATGCTGACCTAATTTGCTCCTCACCATGTCAAAAAGAGAAAACTGACTATAGATAGACAGTTCACTGCTGCAGTGTTGGAACAATCAATACAATCGATAAAGTGACCTGAAGTGACCCAAATTAACTGGACAGAATACAGGGATATGAAAATTCATTCCTGGCAAATGATATTGCCTAATTGAATTTGACCTAAATATGTTAAATGTCTTTTAATCTCTGAAAATAATGTACGTGACTTACTTATATAGCAAAGGATAATATATACAAAATAAAAACTGACCTAAAACGCTGAATGACTATGTCATTTATATTTTCCATAATTTGCAGAAAATTTTAATCTGACCAATTATGTGACTGCAATCTTTGTTGATAACCTGATAAAGTGAATTAACTATTTGTAAATCTTTATTTAGGTACTTTATTGATATTTATAAACAGTGGAGGAATTGTTTAAACTTTTTTTGCTATTTTCTTTCTCAAATATCAACAGGTATTTTCTACAGCCAAGAGACAACGGCAAGCCAGTGAAACCAGCTGATTTGGGTTCATTAAGGCTGAATATTGTTTACACTGAAGACCATGTTTTCCTTTCACATTTCTATGATCCTTTGAGAGATCTTTTATTGAAGTCTCCAGATGTTGAGGTAGGACTTGCTCTCTAACTAGTGTATTCTTTCTAAACTTAGTGACCCTCTGTCTAACCTTAAGTTAGATTTCATACTCTTTGGAAAGATGCCTTTTGTATCTGACCAAATCAAATATGTGACGATAACAGCATGTCGACACAAAGGCTTATAGCAAAGGATTTTAGCAGCACATCAGAAGCAAGAGGATAGTTAAAGGAGGGATAAGACCACTGTGGAGTCATAGTGAAGGAAGAGAAAATTTTAGTTTCTTAACTAATATTTATAGAAAAGGGGGTGAAGGTGTAGATTTAATTTGTTGTTACTTGGCATGAAAAAAAGTCCTGCTGAACGATGGCTAATAAAGTGTTCTTGTGGTTTGTTTTATCCTTTTATAGGTTATTTATATTTACAGAAATTGAAACGGTTTCAGATTGCAATGCTGGAGCATTTTGTCTTTACTCAAGAAACAGTTTTTTTCTTGTTTAAATTTCTTACAAAGTGGCTTAATGCAAACTGTTGTGCAGTGCTGCGGTGTGCTGCTGCCCTCTTCTGTTGACATCCTAGTAATGGCACACATGCGTCCAGGAAAGAAGCTAGTCACTGTTCACTGCCAAGTAGTGCCTTTTTTAATTACAAGCCACTGGCAGAATACTGTGCTTATTGGTCTCTGGTTTATTTTAGATATTGATCTTCTTCTAAGTTTTCCCTTTCATTGTATCGAGCACCAACACACGCACCCAGTTTTCTGCCGAGCCAGCCAACTGAGGCCGTGATTCTCTCTAGGATCTAGGTCTAGGATCTGTGTAACGCAATCCCTGGTTGGGCAAAAAAAACTGGAATGTAGTAGACCTAGCGATTGACACTGATGCCACACAGGGCTACGTCTGCTACATACATGGGTCTGTGTGTGTGTGTCACCAACTCCTGACATGTCATGCTGCAGCATCTCTACTGTTTTTATTGATGTGGCTTCTCCCATTCTTTCTTGCATAATGAGTGATGAGCTGTGTAAAACCAAGGTGAGAATCTTTCTTCCCTTTTTCTGGTTTGTTTCAGCCTGTTTCAGCGTCTGCTGGTCACGTACTGGGTGAAGTGTGCCGCGAAAAACAGGAGGCCGCAATGCCACTCGTCAGACTCTTCTTACATTGTGGCAAAATCGTACCCTTCATTAGTGCGATTGCCAATGCTGAAGTAAACAGGACGCTGTGAGTAAAGGATACACTGATTCAGAACACCATACATTTATGTGAAGACAAATCTTTGGATAATATAGCAACGAAGATCCTTAGGAACAGCAGAATGTACAGAACCAGAAAAGGCCATTACAGTCCGTTTGTCCATTTTCATTTTCGAATACTATCTCACATTCACATACTTTTGCCGTTAATTACTTCCAGAAAGTGCCTATGTTATCTGTCTCAAACTGTTCCACATATTAATATAAATAATAATAATCCTTGTGTTTGATAATAGCACCTTATCAAATTGTTGAAATGTCTCAAAGCTTTTCTCGGGAGTTACTGTAATTTGTATAGGTAAATATTGACTACATATTTTGTAGGTAAACGTGACACTGGATTTGCACATAGAAATGTCCCACAAAGAGCAATGAAATGCATGACCAATTTTATCTGGGTGATCCGGACATAGGGAAAATGTCTTTTGGAATAGTGTTGTGGGATCTTTAAAAGTTTATCTGAACAAGTAGAACAGGGCCTTGGATTAATGTCTTATCTAAAGGATAGTTGTGTATTCACTCTCTTCCATGGATGCAATAACTAGCCGTCAACTGGCAGTCCAGCAAGTAATGTTGACAAGGTCAGAGTGGACTGAATTTCCAACTTGCAGGTATCTCCGAATTGATATCCAGGACACCTCATTGCCACTGACCCTATGTCACTGACAGACACGGTTACAATGGTGTCCAAGCAGGAATGATGCTGAAAATCACGTTGTTCTGTTGGGTTTTAGAAGAACGGCTCAGGTCCTGGTGGGAGAGAAAGCAGTACATTCCTCCCCACACAATCACATAATCGTAGTCCAGCTCTTTTATTGTTCCGATAATCGACTAATTGTACATTTTTATCTGTTCAGGGACCCCAACACCATCTTCCGAGGAAACTCGTTGACCTCAAAGTGCATTGATGAGACTATGAAACTAGCAGGGATGCATTATTTACAAGTTACATTAAAGCCAATCATCGATGAGGTAAACCACACTGCTGATCACTGTTGCTTTGAGTTAACCACTTAGTTTAATCCTCTTTTATACCTGTTTGTAAGTAAAGGTAACTTCAGGAGGCATTTGTAACTATCGGACACAGACTGCTGTTTCCTCCCCGGCCTGATTTTTAAAGAAATTTACAAAAGATACAAATAAAACAAGAAAATGTTTTATTTCATTTCAAAGGCAATATAGACAGACAGGTAAATAATAGAAGGTATGAAGACCTTGAATGACAATAAGTGGCACAGGCACAATGGGCAGAATAGCTTACTTTGTTGACATTTCTAATAATCCAGCTGAGATCTGTAGTAAACCTGACTGTCTGAAAGGTAGGATTTTCTATTTGAGTTTGTTCTGAAGTTGCTCCATGCTTTCTAGGTCTTGTTTATATTGCAGGATACATTAGAAGTAGCTTTCAAATACCTGTTAGCTAACTGCTCACTGATTGTCCTGTTTACTGGGCCGGTGATATCCAAAATCAGTGACATGGAAACAACTGCAGATGTGTGAACTAGCTCATACTGAGTTGTTTCCAAATGCAAACTTCGTTTTATGTCCCCAATGCCTGGGAGATTTAGTAAAACTCATTGTTATCTGAGAGATCACACATAGCCATTCCCCCCACCACTGGCATCTCCCACCATATAAAAAAATATTAGCAGCGAAGATAGTTCACTCTGCAATCCAAAGCAGTTCCCGTTCAAAAGAGATGAGATGAAGGCCTACTTCAGGAGTCTGTGATGTCCACCTCCAGAGGCACTATTGATCAACTGGGTCCTACTGAATAAGGCGGCATTGTCACTGGTGGCTTTATTGCAGTTTAAATGGAATCAGTTTTACCAACTCTCAGTTCAGATAGAATCAATGGATAGTTTCTGGGTAAAGAAAGCGCCATGAAAATACAGTATTGCTTTATTGGGTACCGACTGGGCAAAGCTGTTTTTCACCCCTTAACTTAATTAGGGAAAGCATTTATTCACTTTCTTTTACAGATATGTGAAGTTCACAAGCCGTGTGAAATTGACCCTGTTAAACTGAAAGATGGTGAAAATTTGGAATCCAATATGGTAAAGCTTTACTTTTATTGCAGTGTATTTCTTTTACAACATTATATTTCGAATTCAATTTTTGTGTACAGTAATGTAAGTAAATTCAAACTTATTTAAACGCACTATCCATGAATTACAACAATGACTTTCATTTATAGTGCGCCCTGCAGTAGGGGTAGCATCTCAGAGGTTTGGTTTATAATTTTAAAATAATTATTTGGAAATGATCATAACTCAACCTTGATTTTATTTCAGGAAAACCTCAGACAATATGTTGAAAGAATTTTCAATGTTATCACAAAGTCCGGTATGAGCTGCCCCACAATCATGTGTGACATTTTCTTCTCACTGAGAGAATCTGCTGCTGTACGTTTCCAAGGTAAACCCTGGCGTCTCTGGAGCTCATGTTTAGTTGTGGGTACAGGCAGACTCCACTTTGGATATCTTTATATTATTGTAAAAGTTGTGTTATGTAACATCAAAAGCTATACGATATTGTATCTTCCTGTGTGAGGAGCTGTATTCTGCATGTTCTAGCGAGGCATATCTTGAAGAGGGAGCCTTACACAAAGTGAGTTCTATCAGTGATGACAGCAACTTATGTTTTATATTGCACCTGACACATTAAAAGAAAGTCTTGGAGAATTTTACATAATGCACTTAATTAGAAATAAAATAAATGTTTTTATAATAATAATCCTTGCATTTGATATATCACATCGAGATGTTTCAACGTGCTTCACAGAATATATTGTAAAGTTACTTGACTGTATTTTGTAGGTGAAATACAGCAGCCCATTGCACACATCAATGTCCCACAAACAGTCGTGGATTGAGTGACCAAATTCTTATTATTTTTTAGGCTAATTTGCATCAGCAATGTCCTACAAACAACAACTGAAATTAATGTCCAATGAATTAGAGGTTTTGAATTAACTTTAGCTGATCGAGAGTGAATCTAAGCCAAGATAACCAAGAGGAAACTTACTTTAGCAGGGTGGGACTGGGCTGACTATAGTTGTCAAATAGTTCCATACAGGGATATCTGAATGGCATCATGAGATATAATTAGAGTGGCCATATTAGGATGTATTCAGTCATAGTGCAGAGTCAGGGGAGAAAGTTTATGTGTATTTTGAGTGGAACTAATCCAAGAAGCCAATGGTAGACTGCAGTGCAATATTAAATGCTGGCATTGAAGAACATTTTGTGTTGATCCAACTTGTGCCCATCTATGAGGAATAATTTACACTCCTTAAGAAAAAAATAGGTGAGGCAAGTGTGAATATTTCAGAGAAAATAATTCTGTCTAACTGATGATCTACATGGCTTAGAATCCCAGAGCTCCACTGTTTGTCCTCAACCTCTTCACCTTAGGTATTTATGACTTGCAAGTGAATTTAAGAAAGTGCTCAGAGCAGTACTGTTCCTTTTACAGTTTAATTCTTATAGTTCAACTCTGACCCTTAAGCGTAGAAAGAATTTAATATTTTTGCCCACACTATGGTGGACCAGGTGAAGGAGGAATCTGTTCACATAATGAAAGATGTGTTTCAGTTCCTGAGTTTATGTCACAGGGGTGGGGAGAGAAAGAGAGAGATGGGTAAATGGAAGAATCGGCAACTAAATGAAGGGGAAGTTCAAATATTGTGCAATTCTTAAGTCATTGATAATGAACAGAATGTTCATCTAATATAACTAATTGAACCACTGAACTGGAATCTCTATTGTGCTTCAGGTGATCCTGACGTCAGGTACACGGCTGTCAGCAGTTTTATCTTCCTGCGATTCTTTGCTCCAGCTATTCTCTCGCCTAATCTGTTCCAGCTTCGCCCCCATCATCCAGTAAGTATGACAACTTGCCGCAAAATAAGCAGGGTTTAATGTGGCAGCAGCTCAACTGGTACGGCAGGAATCACAGTGGGAGAAACAAATTACCAAAAATTCAGGAAAATTATTTTCTTTTTCTTCATTCTCAAGAAATCTTCTCCGTCAACAACTGGAAGGCTGTAAATTATTAGTCAGCTATTTTGTGCTTGGGATTTCACTGTGTCACTGATTAACCTTTGTTATACATATTTAGTTAGATGACAATCAGTTTTATCATTGTCGACTTTCTATTGTAATAGGATCCATTAACAGCACGGACTCTAACACTTCTCTCCAAGACCATCCAGACACTGGGGAGTCTATCCAAATCAAAATCTGTAAGTCACTCTTCGTATTCACGTTACAGATACTTTCTTATCACTACTCGTAAAGAGAGAATGTGGATGACATAAACAATAGAATATACCTGATAGAATTCTAATTTGTTTTCATTCCTTGAGGGAAAGTTTCCTAATATGAAAATATTTAATGGAAATTTTCAAGTGTATATCAGTTTTGTCGGCATTGTGCTATCAGCTTTTGATATCTACTGAGAGTGATTTCAATTTGTTAGATAGGAAGACAGTAAATAGCTTGATGCAAGTATTTAATCTGTAAATAATCCATTTACTTACCGATAGGCTGACCAGTGTTTCAACAGATACAACTTGCATTTATGTAGTGTTTTATACAAAGGCTGGATTATCTCGAAGAGGTTTTTAGGAGCACCAAGCAGGAAGGAGAGGAAGAAGCATTAAGGATGTTGACTATAGGAACAGTCAAGGCGAGAAGCTCTGAAACACAGAGAAACAACGTACAGGGATCCAGGGAAAAAGCTTCAAATTACAGCCAATTTTGCACTGTTTGCTTGTCGAGAAAAGAGCTCTGCTTCTGAATGCTGAGACACAGAAGAGATCCCTTTACCACAGCCCATAGTTCTAAATTTAAGGATATTGTTTATGAATATGTTTGGGATTAATTTCTTAATTTTCACAAGTAACATTGAATTATTCCTATTAATTTATAGGCCAGTTTCAAAGAATCCTACATGGCTACTTTTTATGAATATTTCAATGAGCAGAAATACACAGATGCTGTAAGAAATGTAAGTATGGCCATTTGACAAGCAGCTCTTTGTTAGTGTGCCTTATTTGTGATTCTCTGTACACCGTGATAGGAAGACAGTAAATAGTCACTGAAACCAAGAGGCTTGTGTGACACTTGTCCTGTCGAGATGTTTTGGTCAGATGCTCATACCCTTTCCTGCCACCTCCTTCAGATGTCCCTCAAATGAATACTACCTGTCTCTGTAACCGGCAGCCATCACCGTCATTCCCCACAAAACACGGATTGTAAATTGGTGTTCTGGTTTCCTGTTTCTGGGACCACCTTGAGAATATGTAATTGTGAGCATTGCAATGTCTCCATAGCAGAATAAATACGGATGGTGTAAATCAATGTTGACTCCACCTGTGGGCAACAGCATGAACACCCAACATCATAAGGGCTAGTATTGCATCAGTGTGTATTTAATAGCTTAATAAAAAAACATGGTGTTTAGCAGTTGCGCATGGATGTGCTGAGCTATACAAGTGCAGAACTCCAGAATGGACCACAACTTGCATTTATATAGCACCCTTCACGTGGGGTTGCATCCCGGAATGCTTCACAGTGGTGGAGTGTGCCAACGAACCAGGTGGAGGGGGAGGTGACTGTAAGCACGACCAAAAAGGAAGGTCTTTAGGGGGGACTTGAAGTTGGGGAGGGAGGAGCAAGATGGAGGGATTGAGGGAGAGAGTTCCACAGCTTCGGGGAGTAGTGGCTGAAGGTACGGCTACCGACAGTGGAACGGAGAGCATGAGGTACAAGCAGTAGGCTAGAGCTTACTGTAGGCCCCAATGGAATGTGGAACCAGAAGTATAAATTGGCTTTCCCTCCACGTCAGTGCCATCCTGGGAATGATTTGAAATTGCTCCCAGGAGTATGAATGCAAATGTTGTTAAAATCAATGATGCACATTGCAAAATAATCAATGGGTCCACACTGTGCATCGTTCTCAGTATGTTCCTTTTATGCCTCTTAAACTGTGATTGCTGATGACATAATGGATACTGGCTTAAAGGAGTTCTGAGGTTGCCTGTGAGAGAACTGAATTAGCAGCAGTAGAGACACAGGCATAAACCCAAGTATAATCCGGCATTAGCTGTGTACATGCAGTCCTCTCGCACTGCGTCATAATCCTCAACGATGTCAACAGCATTCACTGTGGAAACAAAACTGGTTTGACAATTAACCAAACGTAGACAACCAATAAAAGGAGTTGTTACCGTTCAAGGCTATTATTTGTAGCTGTTTTTGACAGTCAGACCTTCTTATAAATTGAAGGAAAACAGAATTAAGGTTGTCACTGGACGACTCTCATGCATTGTCCTTCAGTGGCCTGCCAACAATGGCATTGCCCTCTGGTGGCTGCGGAGGATGGAGTCTCTACCTACTTGCCTTCAGCTGCAGGCAATATGTGCCATAGGACAGACGATAATGGGGAAAGAAATGCTATAGTGAGTAACATACCTTAAACACACATACACACGCAAGGAAATACACAGACCTGTTTCTTGCTGCTTTATGTCTATAATATGTACTGATCACTTAACGCAACTTTTTTTGTGATTGAAGTTCCTGGATTTAATTTCTTCATCTGGAAGAAGAGATCACAAAAGCATAGAACAACCCATAGTACTGAAGGAAGGGTGAGTTCTTTACCATTGCTTTGATGTGGGGTATTAATGTGCACAACGTTCTGTTTTGCTTAGAGATGTAATTTACATCATGTTTCATGTGTATCATCAGCTATCAAGCTTGTTTTTTAGGATGTCAGTTGCGACAAGAGATTATTGATTTATGTAGTCATATCACTTAAATATGACTTTATTTGCATGCATATTCATTGCATGTATAAAATAACTACTGTAAAATAGGCATACAAATGCATCTAAATTTACACACAAGTTCCGGAAAGACAGGAAGATCATATGGTAACTGAATTAAATACTTAAAGGCATTACTAAAATCAGAACTGTGATCCACTGAAATATACACGGTAATGACATTGATATATATTTTACATCCCTGCTAGGTGTTAAAAGAGCACATTTTATCTATCCATTGTGTGTTGATTCCATTTTTGGTTACTAACACATTTCATTCATAATATCATCAGTTGAATTTTGTTTCAAAAGTTTACACGAACAATTCACACAATCTTGTCACAATCAAACTGACCAGAATTTATCAATGATCTTTTTCAGGATAAGCAGACTTATTGTTGAATTTTAATTACTCCTGTGGGTTTTACATTCTAAATACATTGTCTTTAAGTAGTTATGTACACTGTTTTCCCATGACTAATATCAAATTCTCCTGTAAGTACTTCTCTGAATCTCTGCCTCTGTCTTTCTGCTTCACATATCTGAACTTTATTTCTGTCTGTCCTTTCTTATTGGCTTGCTGGCGGCTGTTTTAAGGACTTTAAAACTTACTGTAAAGAAAGTTGATGGTAATAGTTCATGCAGGTAAGATGCAGGACAGTTGATGTTTATGTCCTTGCAGTTTTAGCTGTAGCACTTTCTACACAAAGACTCTCGAGTTTATTTATGTCCAGAGCTATTTGTTGCTTGTCCTAGTAACTCTAGGATGGAGCTGCAGCGACCCGAGCTTGAATCCCAGCCTGCAACACAAAGCTTTGCGCAATTGGCATTGATAACAAAAATAGATGAGTTAATTGTCAGAACTATACTACACTGTAAGGTGAATCAGGACTATGGGGAGCAGCGGGGAATGGGGAGAGAAATAATCAACGCAAACCTCTTCTTTGTTATGAAACAAAACATTCCAGCTGAACCTCCAGAGTTTCAAAATGTGTAACTTTCCAGTACATCAAAACTCTTTGATTAATATTCAAAACTCTTGATTTGCAAGTCTGCTGTTGTAAAACATGAGATGTGTTGACCTGTCGCCTGTACAGAGTACAGAGATAATCAGTTCCATTTTCCATTCTCATGTCTATGACTCACTGGTCCAAAGCCGATGCATATCTTGGATTAACCTTCCATTGGTAGTACATTACAGGAAACCTGCACACAGGCTTTAGGAGTTTAGCAAGTGAGTAATCAGATCACGAAGTGACTTTGGGATATTAAACAGCTCTGTGCCTGATTTATTTGTTCCTTCCTTTTGCTAATTTCACTGAAACATTTGTGATTCAACTACTTTTCCTCAATGGAAAAGCAAAGATGTAACAGAACTAGGACCTGGTTCATGTTTATATCCGGCACAAACACAATCTAGGTTTCAGACTGGGCAGGAAGTACATCATAGAAACATATAAATTACTGTACAGGGGTTGCCATTTACCCCAGCAGGGCTATGCAAGTGCTACGATAAACCCATTTATTCTATTGGACTCTATTATATTCCATTGGTATCACTTTTACCTCTGAATGAAAAGGTGTGGGTTCAGCGACAGGTCTTTGAGCTCACCTAGTCTAGGCTGACACTTGGGAGGAGAGAAGGGCTGTATAGTTGGAGGTGCTGTCCTTCGAGACCCCACCTGCCTGTTCAGGTGGATGTTAAAGATCCCTTGGCACTTTTTGAACAGAGAAGGGAGTTCTCCATTCCTCAGATAAAATTGATCATTCATTTTATAACTGTGGGACATTGTTGTGGTTGAATTACCTGCCACGTTTGACTATAAATAGTCATTGCATTGCAATGCAAATCCTGTGACGTACTTTTGAGTAGATTCAACGACGTGATAAAGTGCAACATCAAATGCCAGATTAATATTATTTATTATTGTCCCAATTTCATACTCATATTTATCTAATTCACTTTTTGCTTGGATGTACACTATTATCATTTCTAGCAGCATGAGGACTTGTATTATGGTTTCTGCATAATGTTGCAAACTTGTATCAAGTATAGATTGGGTCAGTACCATGTAGGGTAACCATTGTTTGGTTTATTTCATGGTTGGAGCTGAAATGGCACATACACCATTGATGGAGTCCACTTTGCAATATTAACAAACTGGATTTGAAAGGTTAATTTCAACTTTTGTTCATTATTATGGAATGAACTAAAGGCGAGATTCAAATGGTGCAGGGCAAGTTGGGGACACGGACTTGAACACAGAAGAGGGAAAGTGAACAGACCGTCAGCATTAATATCTTTACACGCACAGTGGTGAATATAAGAAAACTCAACAACAAATTAAATTAAATTTACGTCTTGAGGATGTCCCAAAGCACTGGAGGGGCGCCTTTCATGTCGGGAGGACGTCTTTTTTTCCCCTTTCGCATGAATTCAAATACTTCGCAGGGTGGTGGTGGTGGACACAAAGCAGCATTGCTTTGTATACCAAGTCTTTCTGTGAGAGCTTTACATCAAACATTGCACTGTGCAAGTAACATGGAATCTAACAAGGATAAAAATTGAATAAGTACAAAGAGAAAATCATAAAGTAGTAACTACTTTAGTATAAAATATATTCAAATAAAGTTTCAGCTTTTTCACCTTGAAAAAAAGTTGTGGAGAACTTTACAGCCTTTGCCACTTCATTGCAGTCACCAGCAACTCTTCAATTGCATTTCCTCCCTTGCATTATCTGTTTCAGTCTTTGTGAAGTTTTGAACCACTAACATTTTCTTATTATTTTGTAGGTTTATGATCAAGAGAGCACAGGGAAGAAATCGTTTTGGCATCAAAAACTTTAAAAAGAGATGGTTTCGTCTGACCAACCATGAGTTCACCTATCATAAACACAAAGGTGAGAAAAACCTCATAGAAATCATCTGAAACTCCCTTTCCTCTATTTCCCTCTCTTATATATGCATCAAGTTTCCTTTAAAAGCAGCCAAAAAGAAGCCGAAACCTTCGTCCATGCCTTTGGCACTTCCTGGCTAGACTATTCCAACGCCCTCCTCGCTGGTCTCCCCAGTTCTGCTTTACACAAAATTCAACTAATTCAGAAGTCAGCCCAGATTCTCACCCGCACAATACTCCATAACCCCATCACAACAGTCCTTGCCAGGCTCCACTGGCTCCTAATTACTGAATGATTGATTTCAAGATCCTCTTACTCATTTTCAAATCCCTTCATGCCCTCACACCTCCCTGCTTATCCGATCCACTCCACCACTTGTTGCCTCAGCTCAGCTGGCTCCGGCTTCCTGTTCGTCCCTTGTCCCCTCCGCTCCACCATTGTGGTCGTGCCTTCAGCCACCATGCCCCGAAACTCTGGAACTCTCTTCCTCAATCCCTCCACCATGCCCTCTCCCTCCACACTCAAATCTCACCTGAAGACCTTCCTTTTTGATCGTGCTTATGGTCACCTCTACCCTTGGTTCGGAGTCAGACTCCGCCACTGTAACGCTCCGGGGCGCTACCCCGTGTGAAGAGAGCTATATAATTACAAGTTGTTGTTAAATACATTGAAGTCAGCATTGATCAGTAATCAGCATTGATGTGCCTAGGGTTTGAGGTTAAGTGTAGCAATCGTACAAGCATGTGCATGTACAGTGCCAAGAGTGAATAAGTTGTATCAGTGTTTGTATGTACACAGCCTGCTTTTATTTATGTGTACAATTCTGGAATGATTAAGTCAGGCATTGTAAAGAACTATTTTTTCTTTCCTGCAACCTGAATGACACTGCATCAGCGCTCACATATTAAACGCATAGTCTCTCTCTGGAGAATTTATCCCCCGGAGGATCATTCTAGCTAAAATTTTATTTGTGTTTTGCAGTTGATCATCCATTGTGCAGTATTCCTATCGAAAACATTTTAGCTGTTGAAAAACTGGAGGAAGAATCCTTCAAAATGAAAAATGTGAGTAAAAAGTGACATTTTTTCCAGAAGTATTATTTTACACATGTAACACACTTCTGCTTACAATGCACTCCTGGGCTTCACGTACATTTTCCTTGGTTTCAGACAAATGTTGGTATTTTACACTTTCCAAAAAATGTACTATAGTCTTTTTATGAAATTGTTAGTTACAAGCACCTGATCAACAAGACATTCCCCTGGAATATTCTGAGGAGGAAGAAAAAGGTAGTTTTTATGAGGTGTGGTTCATTAGTTCTTGTAGATCTCTGTAAATACATGCAGAACCAGAGTCAGGCTCCGCCACTGTTAAGCACTCTGAGACTCTACCCTGCGTCTATATAAGTGCAAGTTGTTGTTGTAAAGTTATTGTTGTAAAATTTATCTCCCTATTTGTCATATGATCACCTTAGTTTGTTATCATCAGCATATTTCGTAATGATTTCCTTCTTTCTGTGTATTCAATCTGCCATTTGGTCCTTCTTACTTCTGTGATGTACCTCATAGTTAATCTCAACTGACGAGTTGATACGCCCCAGCTCTTGTTGCTCTTTCTTTCTTTCTGCTGCTTAGAATTTGTTTTTTAGGTTGTTTCAACCACCTGATGCAGCTGTTTGTGGTCCAGAACCTGTGACTGTTTTCTCCCCATCAGGATATATATATTTTCTTCCCATATCCCTTCAAAACGAAATGCCTCAGTTAGATTTAGCCAAGGAAGAGTGATGTATAGATGAGACATGTATGTGTTAAAAAAAATTGTGCCACACTGGCTCTCTATTCTGCATGTGATGGCTTACTGTCCTTGTTGAGATTAGAAAATATGTTGAGTCTCAGAACTAAATTTCTAGGTGAAATTTTCCTTGTTCTGCACCAAATATTTAAAATGTGGGTGCTCATAGGTGATGGAGAATGATATGTATCACATCCACTGATAGAATCAAGTCAGGAAAGGGTTAAACAGATAATGCTGTCAGCACTACTGAGGTTATAATGCAGTCTTCTCCCAGCATCGCTGTACAGACTGAAGAGCATTCATTGCTATTCTACAAGTCAATTTTAACAAAGTTAAATTCTGAGATGCTTTTCAAGTATTGCATACTGTTGATCTTTTGTGGCTTTACCACATTTTTTGTGGAATTTTATTTATGTGCGAATGTTGGCAGCTGTATTATGCTTCACTCAGTTCAAATAAACAAATAAAATTCCTACTTTTATTTGTTCTCCACTTACCATGGGTATAAATCCAAAGCCAGTAAATCCCACAGAGGAGACTGGAGCCCTTCCAGGATTTCAACTGTAAAGCACTTGGGTCCAAATTGTTCCAAACAATTTTCTCATTGCCAGAGAAATGTTTCTTGAAACCATACACAGCTGGTGTTCTTCACTATTGGGAACAAGATTTCAATGACCTGAAGTATTCGGGCTCAGAGACGAGCAGTCATCATTATAGTCCTGCACAGCAGATTCAGCAGAACTCAGTAGCTAATGGGATCTTGTTCAGTCCTTCGTGGAACATGGGTATTTTATGCATAGAACAGGCTATTGAGTCTGTCCTACTGCTACCTATTTTTCTATACCATCTCTTTATTATTATTGAGTCCACGTTCCAGCTATTGCCCTTTATCTCATAATATTCCCTTTTGAACAAGTCAATTGATCCAACCTTAAAAGCCGCTTCTACTAATGAACTACAAACACTAATAACCCTTAGTGTGTACAAGATGCTACAGGATGGTGGAAAGTTCTTAAATTCAGACTTAATTTGCTCTTTGTAAAGAGCTATCTTCCAAATTAAGACTGAATTTAAGAATTTTCAACATTCTTACATTTTAAGACAAAATGCTAGTGGAGGCTTGTGGAATTTCAGACCGATCTCTCCATTCCTCTAACATGAGAGGTTAATGAATTCCTTTGCCCCTTTTCTTCTAATTTACTGACACATAAGTAGGACAGTGAAATTAGTGCAATGATCATCTTGATTCATCCTTAAGGATCTGTAGGTTCTCAGATGTGGCTTTCATTTTGTAGTATTAGGAGAGCTGGAGAAAGGAAAAGATTTGATTGTAACTGTTCATTATCCACTGAAAGTATCCAATCAATATAAAGTTGTCAATAAGGCAAATCTCTTTCTTTCAAACATGGAGACGTTGAAAGAAAATCAAACAAGGTTGATTCATGGCTGTTTGTGGGCCATTGTTGTGTGCATATTGGCTGCCTACACAATACACAGTCACTTCACTTTATAGTAAATCCTATGAAGGATTTTGAGACGTCCTCATGATGTGAAAGGCCCTATATGAAATACAAGGATTATTTTATTACTTTCTATAATAAAATAAGGAAATATTATGTTAGCTTTTACTTCCCCTTTGATAGAAATAGAAAATCATGTTGCAATCATCACATTATCACATTATTGGGATTTTTTATGGGTTATGTATAAACACGTTAATAGAGGGAATTACAGGTGCAGTTAATTATGTGATAAACAACAAATTACAAATTACATTTGTGTAATGCCTTTCACATCGGGAGGACATTCCAAGGCACTGGACAATCAAGGATTTGGAGTCGAGCTGGGAGTTGATGGCAATTCAGAAGGGGACCTGAAGAACAAATTTGAAGAAATCCGTGCTTTAGTGACATTCACATTTATAAAATTAGCTGTAAGATAGCATCAGATTTTTTATCAATCCCATTCTAGCAGTGTGAAGGACCCCAAATTCAAAGAATAGTTAAGGAATGCTTCAGTGTTTGAATTTCATGATTACAGTTATGAATGCTAAAATATGATGGTATATTATAAAGCCTTTTCACCATGTGTAATTTTTAATGTGTGTCTCTTTTTTATTTAGATGTACCAAGTCATTCAGCCAGAAAGAGCATTATACATACAGGCTAACAACTGTGTGGAGGCCAAAGACTGGATTGATATCTTAACAAAAGTTAGTCAGTGCAACAAGAAGCGCTTGACAGTGTACCATCCTTCAGCATATCTCAATGGGCACTGGCTTTGTTGCAAGGCCACTGCTGACACAGCCCTAGGCTGTACACCTTGCACTGGGTAAGGAGAATAGTGTAAACTGTATATAATTCAACAGGCAGTGGTAAGAGTATAGAGTTTATTGCATAAGATGAAACATGAGGTTTAACAATCTGTAATCAAATGATACTACATATAACAACACATTAACAATACTACACATCTATGTGAGCAAAACATTTATCACAGAGCATGCATGCAGGGGTTGCTCAGTACTCCAGACAAACAACACACCTCAAAATACACAGCAGAGATCAACCCCTGGAAATCCCTCAGGGACAACTGATTCTGGTAATACATACACTAAACAGGGACCAGCGTCCTGTAAACCCTCGGACCCAATCAATCACTCTATACAACAACAGTAGTACTCACGATACAGGGACAACAACACATATCTAGGCACTGGTTCATGCTCCAGACTAAACAAACCTGGGTTCATCTTGACATACACTGGAGCGATCACAGAAATATCACACAGAATCACAGAGAGTGGCTCCTGGAAACCCAACAGAAACAATCAGCTCTTAGCCCAGCACCTCACTCGTACCTGACTTCTGTGTTTCAAATGGACCAACCACTACTACTGTTATTACTTCTCTGCCTAGCTAAAAGAACCAAAAACATATTACCCACTACTTCTCCTCTTTCACTTTTCATGGTCACTTTCTTACTTCACCCCTGTACACTATATATAGATACAGTAGAATCGATATTGATTCCACTGGGAAGTGTGCTGACCCTCTACGCAACTCCAACTATTTCAAAGTTACATCTTTGATGTGTTTCTAACTCCACTTCCCCCAGTCACAGAGATAGGCCCCACCCTTCGCAAGCTGTTAGCAATCATTGAACAGGCTCTTTTTGCATTAGAAAATACCTGATAAGGAGAAAGATATGGACGACTTCTGAGCAGCCTTCCACAGCCTGCTTGTTTCTCAGCCTTGAGATAGGCAGGTGTCTGAGGCTGTAGCCTTTTCTTTCTGTGGTCCATTGTTCTTACATCTATGTTCAAGGGCCCGATTGCTCATTATCTCAGAGGAGTGAACATCTTACCAGGAAAATCTGAAATGTAATCAACTCGTCCAGCAAAGCTACTTTTAACCCCTCCTAAGCTAGTCATTCTATCAAACAAACCTTATTAAATAATTAAATAATAAGGTTACATTCTAAATGCATATAAAGGTTAATTAAAAGCCTTAAAAAACATAAAAAATCACAAATATAATCTTATAATAGCTACATTTTATTTTCTAGGCAACTATTGTTGGGGACCTTTCTTACGTTGATCACTACCTTTTCTATGTAACTACATACCCTACACAGCATGAAAACAGACCATTCAGTCCAACTAAACCATGACAATCTTTATACTTCATTAAGCCTCCACACTCTGAATTCTCTCTCCCTATCCCCTCCCATACTCCTCTATTCCCTTCACTCTCATGTAACTTTAAATGGGACAACCATCACTATCTCTTGATTCCAGGACCACTGCTGTTCTGACAGACTACCAGTTAGATATCAGGCCCTCAACATTGTCTAACTCAAATGTTGAGGTTTTCCTGCTTGGCTCCCACCAGTGTCTCATCTTAGGTGACTGCATAAACCTCCCCAGTTATTCACTCCAGCTCATGATGTCTGTTTGGAGTTTGTATTTTCTTGAATTCTCACCTGTCCTTTAAGCATTTCATCTGGACTCTGAGCATGTCTGCTTTCCTTCATCTCTTGCCTGCCTTGGTCATTTCTTTACTTCAGTGAGCAGAAACCCTCATCTATCCCTTTGTCATCTCCATACCCAACTTGTCCAATACCCTGCTCGCTGACCTCCCCAGCTTTGCTCCAGATCATCCAGAACTGCGCCGTTGGCACCCTCTGTCTCACTAGGTTGTGCAAACCCATCTACCCCATCTTGCCCAGCTCCATGGGCTCCCCATCCGCCAGGGTGAGCCCACTTTGAGATCCTCATTCTCACTTTGAAATGCCTCCACAGCCTTGCAATACCTTAGCTCTGTGATGTTTTACAACCCTGCTCCCATGGCTACTCCCTATGCTCTGCCAGGTCTGGCCTGCTTCATGCCCCATCTGCTCTACTCCACCATCAGCCACTTCTGATGATCTCGCTCCCACCGTCTCGACTTTCAAAACCTGTTGAAATACCTACCTTCACAACTGCACTTCCAGCCACTTCCCCCTAATACCCCCCGTCGCCCTGCCCCATCTCTCTCCCAGCTTTGGGTCTTACTTCAGCTTTGTAATTGTAGAGTTGTTATTTTATGTTGAAAAAAGCTTTTTACATATATACTCAAGTATTAGTCTAATCCAAAATTGCACATTTATCAGGGCATGTATTTGTCTTTTTACAACTGTCTCTTATCATTTAGTTAACACTGTGATTACTTTATATTGTGTGTTTATCTGATTTTATGCAGCGGGCTTCCAGCTAACATCCAGTTAGATGTAGATGGTGACCGGGAGACTGAGCGCATTTACTCGCTTTTCAGTACCTACATGACTAAATTGGAGAAAATGCAAGGTAACAGATATAGTGGCGAGAACGATGTGTTCCACTGGCACTCTACCCTCTACCTACTCTCCCTAACCTCTTTCAAAGCTTTCCTTGAAACTTACATCCTTGACTGCACTCTTTCCTGTCTCCCACGCTGCTCAGCCTCCCACTCTCATCTGCGTAAAGCATTTCGAGACAACTAAGTAAAAGGAGGTGTATATTGTTGGTTATTGTTAATAAAATGGATGGAGTGTCCTAACGTATAAGCATAAGGTAAAAATGTTATTTAGGAACCTGTGTAGATTCCTGGTTATCTACCACAAGTCAAGTTATGACCATATGAAGGGGAATGCTCTGTCACAACCTTTTCATTAACTAAGGTACCAAAATAGAGATTTCCTCGCTGTCTCATCATCTGCTGTAGAATGAAATGCATGAAGACAGAAACTACATGAAAACTAATGGAAATGAGTACTGGCGATAACCTATCAAGTTGGGGAGTGTTACACCCATTATAAGTAAACTGGAAGTTGCATTAACAAACTAAGGGAACTCCACTCTGATGAGAGCTACTTTCAGAGCGCTGTTCCCATGCCTGAGCTAATGGACAGAAGAGCGTTTACTCAGAATCCTTACTAAGGAATTAGAAATAATCACTGAACCAACATACATTAGAACTCACTTTTATTGAAGTTCAGTTTTAAGAATACAGTATTTCAACTATTAATTGAGCTTAAATGTAATATATACTTCTGTCCCTCAAAATAATTCTCTTTATTTCAATCCTCTCACTAGAGGCGTGTGGCAGCAAGTCTGTGTACGATGGGCCTGAGCAGGAAGAATATTCAACCTTCATTATTGATGATCCTCAGGAGACGTATAAAGCACTAAGACAGATAATAGAAATTGTTCAAACATTGGAGATGGAGCATGTCCAGTATAAGAGGAATAAGTTCAAGAGGACCAAGTATGGCAGCCAGTAAGTGCTGTAGATTTTGCAAATTTCTGCTACTATCACTTAGATGTCTTCAGATTTTTCTGTTTCAGAGCCCTTTGTCAACACTTGGATCTTTCTTGCTTTACCAACATAATTCAACAACAACAACTTGCACTTATATAGCGCCCTCCACGCAGAGTAGCATCTCAACGCTTTACAGTGGTGGAGCCTGACTCCGAGCTGGGGGGGAGGGGAGGTGACCGTAAGCAACAACAACAACAAAATTACATTTGTATAGCGCCTTTCACGCTAGGAGGACATCCCAAGGCGCTGGACAGTGTACAGCATTTCAGACCCAAGCTGGGGTCATGGGGGGAGAAGAGAGTGGAGGGGAAGGGTGTTGACCGATGGCATGGTCAAAAAGGAGGGTCTTGAGGCAGGACTTGAAGGAGGCTAAGGAGGGGGTGAGGCGGAGTGATTGGGGGATGGAATTCCAGAGGTTGGGGGCAGAGTGGGTGAAGGCTCTCCCGCCAATGGTGGGGCGGGTGGGGCAGTGACGCGGAGCAGGCCAGAGCCGGCTGAGCGGAGGGAACGGCCGGGTTGGTAGGCGGTTAGGAGGTCGCAGAGGTAGAGTGGGACGAGGCCATGGAGGACTTTGTATGTGAGGAGCAGGATCTTGAACTGGATCCTCTGAAAGATAGGGAGCCAATGGAGAGTGCGGGAGATGGGGTCACGGTGTTTGGTGCGGGAGAGGATACGGTTACAGAGTTTCAGTGGCCTGAGGGGTGAGGTAGCGGTGGAGACAGGCGATGTTGCAGAGGTGAGGGAAGGCAGAGCGGGTCATGGCTTGAATATGGGGAAGAAAAGACGGTTGAGGGTTGAACAAGACACCTAGGTTCCTGACTGGCTTGGTGAGTTGTAGTGTGCAATCATGGAGGTTGATGCTGCCAGAGCCTGAGGTGCTGACGTGAAACCAATCAGGAGGGCCTCAGTCTTGTTCACATTCAACTGTAGGAAATTTGCCCTCATCCAGGACTTGATGTCCGACAGGCAGTCTGTCAGGACAGCAGTGGTCCTGTAGTTGAGGGTGGAGGCAGAAAGATAGAGTTGGAAGTTGACCCCATGTCTGCGGGTGATGTCACCAAGCGGGAGCATATAGATATTAAAGAGGAGAGTAATTTAATATTATTTAATATTAATATTTAATATTTATTTAATTGTGTCTTCATATTTAATAAAAATATGAAACATAACAACAACAAAAACAACAACATTACATTGGTAAAGCACCTTTCACATGAGGAGGACGTCCCAAGGACGTCCCAAAGTATGGTTGTAAGGAAGGTTTTCATACAGGACTTGAAAAAGGGGAGAGAGCGAACAAGGCGGAGAGTATAGCTTTCAAGAGGGAATTCATTAGCTTTCAAGAGGGAACTACATAAAAGGATTAACTTGCAGAGTATAGGGAAAAGCAGGTAAGTGGAATTGAATGGATTCCTCTTTGAAAGATGCAGCAAGATACAATGAACTTCATTTTGTTCTTTGTAATGGAAAATGTTATGGTTCTAGAATCAGCAGGTTGCACCTCCAGTTGTGGGAAAAATTCGTGCCAGCTTGGAATACAAATTACCACAAATTTGATGCAAATAATATGTGATCACAAAACGCTAGTACAGTAGTGCTGTTATAGCACACCTTTAAAATTTATCTTCTTTTGAATTATGTCCAAGAAATCATTAAAGAAGCTTAAATAAACAAATGTTAATGCTGAGGATACTGACTGCATGTCTAGTAATAATTTCTCTCCCTCAAGTTCTGCTGAAGGATCGTGGACCCGAAACGTTGACTCACTTTCCTTTCTCTATAGATGATGCCTGACCTGCTGAGTGTTCCCAGCGACTTCTGTTTTTCTTTCTCTCCCTCTTGAGGCCTATCCTTTTATTAACAAATAATATTATTAGGAGCCTAATTCCTCCTTTATAAAGAAAAGTAATTTAATTTAACGTGCCCATTGCATTTTACAAAACCGTTAGTCTCTGTATTTCTGTGGCCATTTTTATGCAGTTAACTTTTAAAGTTGAAACACATCTTACTTGGTTATAATAAAAACAGTAATCTTTATGTATTTAAAATATAAGTTTTCCATATTGTGATACAGATTCACCTATTAATAATCCTGTTTCTTTTCATTATTTAGGGAGCATCCCATAGGTGACAAGTCTTTTCAGTGTTATTCAACCCAAAACTCAGGATGTTCAACCAATTCAATGTGACCAACTGCCTTAACAAAGAAGTGGAAAAGTCGAGCGTATTATTTTATACCAGGCGTTGCTGGATATAGAGAGGTCAACAATGTTAAATGAAGCTTAAAAAAACAGAAAATAATCCATTTGAACCCGATGTGTACAGACTTACAACATTAAACTCACATACATTTGGTGGTTGATTAATGTTTTCACAAACTGTTACATATGCACTTTAGTCATCTGTTTGCAACAGATGATTTAACTTTTTGCCTTTAAGGCATTATTTTATACCTGCTTTTACTGGTGATCAGTTCAATGATCATTGAAAGTGAATCCATCTGCAAGCAACTCCAGTGTCATTTTTAAACTTCTTGGGGCCAAATGGAGCTAAGTACTGAAGTAACAAAGCAATAGCATTTCACCTTTTGTAAGCAGCTTAAGATTGCAGTTTGTGTTAGTATTGAAGGACAACATCAATTGTTTTTCCCTGCAGAGCTTGAAAAATGTAACCTCATTACATGGCGCACAATGATTTTTGCACTGTCGAATTCTGTTTTACTTTGATTTTGCTAGAACCTGGGATTAGCAATCTATTGCTGGGAAGGAAAAGAAGAGGATTTAATAGGCATGTTTGTTTGGTGCATCAAATGTCAAGTAAGCACCACACTATTCCACATTCATGTTACAGCCTTTGGCCCAGCGGCATTCATTGGACCACAAAGGTGATGGTGTAGTGGAGGCACTATGCCATCTGGATGGTTTTCAATTGTTTATTGATAAAAAATGTCTTGTAGGCAGAAACTTTTGCTGCTAGAGTTCACAACATCTTTTGTGCTATTTTCCCGCTGACTTTAACAAATAATGTTCTGCTTTAATTGTAGTGGAAACGTCCCACCTTGTGCACCATGACAATCGTGTAGGAAGCTTTTGTAACAAAACAATGTGTTCAGTCGGCAGCATTGTGGACCCGGGGAGAGAGGGAGGGAAACGGATTCAATTATAATGTTGTTTATATTTTGAGGTACAGACATTGCTGTTAATGCCAATGCTAATAGCGATAAGAGTTTTATGCAAAATGTGTCTTGATTTTGCCAAGTACTCGCTGCTGTGGAATATTTACTTACCTCTGCTTGATGCTTCAGTTTTAATAGCATGAAGACCTTGTCTTCATAAACAATCGCACATTTTACATAAAGGGAGGATAAATATGGTCACATTTATAGTTTCAATGTTTTGATTTCCGCCTGAGGGAACTACATTAGTATATACCCTTTTTAAAAGAAGCACTGTAATAGTGAGAGAATGGTTTTATTGTGTTTTTATTCTTACGGTATATAAAATAAAAATATTGACTAAATTGTATATTGGGTAGGATTACTGTTACAAGGGAAGGAAAGTGATGAGAGCAGTATCTCAAGCCAACCTGTGTTCCTCCCATATTATTAAAGAAACTGAGCTCCGTCACCTGCCAGCTAAACTCATTCTCATAATATGCTTGTAACTTACACTGTACATAAAATACTAATGTGCTACAATGTATTTTTAACTGCCAAATAAAAATGCGAGTTTGTAATATGTGTGTACGTGTCACTAAATTTTTAAACAAATTCATTTCATCTAATGTCTATAAAGTTTTAGTTTCTCAAAGTCAGTCTAGAGAGTGACCTTCAAAATTTGCAATTTAGAGTGGATCTAAAGCAGAAATTGTTTAGATGGAGATTCAGGTAATAATGATAAACCTTCCATTTTACATTGCTCCTTTCAGTTCAGGAGGATGTCTAAAAGCACTTCACAGGACATACAGTGTAGTCTGTGTATTGGTAGGGGAACGCAGCAGCCAATTTGTGCACTGCAATGTTCCACAAATAGCCACTTTGCTGTGTTTGCCGATCACATACAATCCAATACATACCTATATCCCCTTTGTCTTAAGAGATGTTTTGATGTTATAGGTGTAATATCAAATGCAAAGATTATTGTTATTATTACAACAACCAATTGCATTTATATATCGTCTTTCACATCAGGAAGACGTCAGAGGTTTGCAACCTCTGGGGGTTGGAATCAAGAGGATGGCGAGCAAGGGGGTGGGGCTGGGTGAATGACCAAAGCCACGGTCAAAGAGGAAGGTCTTGAGATGGGCCTTGATGGAGTCCTGTAGCTCAGTGGTTAGAGCACTCGCCTTGCGAGCCAGACACCTGGTTTCAATTCCAGCTAGGGTGAAACTTGGGCAAGTTTCCTTACTCCACACACCTAATAATAATCCTTCCAAATCAAAACAATAATAATAAATTGGTCACTTTCAATCCACTACTGTTTGTGGGACACTGCTGTGCGCAATTGGCTGCCGCGTTTCGTCCACAAATATACGGCCAATTCACTTTACAGTCTATTCTGTGAAGCGCTTTGAGACATCGAGAAGACGTGAAATGCACTATATCAAATACAAGGATTATTATTATTATGGAGGTAAGGAAGAAGGCAAGGTGAATTAGCCAATACCACTATGAATAAGAATGTAGCGTAAATTAGACTTTAATAATGGTGAAGTAAAATGATGAACAGTTTACCTGAAACAAAGAAAACAAGAGTGTGGACAGGCCAGAAGGCTGCTAGTCAGGATTCATAAAACTCTACTTCCCCTTAATGTTACCTATCCTTAGTTCTTTCACATTAAACTTCATTTTCTGGTTTTGGGTTTAATAATCCTTGCATTTGATATAGCGCTTTTCACGTCGGGAGGACGTCCCAAAGCGCTTCACAGAACACACTGTAAAGTGAATTGACTATATTTGTGGGCGAACGCAGCAGCAATGTCTCACAAACAGTCGTAGATTGAAAATGACCAATTTTATTATTGTTATTGGTTTTGGAGGGATTATTATTAGGCTCTGTGTGGAGTACGGAAACTTGCCTAAGGTTTCGCCCTGCCTGGAATTGAGCTCAGGTCTCTCGCTTGCAAAGCGAGTACTCTAACCACTGAGCTACAGGACTCCAAAACCAAAAGGTGAAGTTTAATGTGAAAGAACTAAGAATAGGTAACATTAAGAAATCAAAATAAACTCTAGAGTTCTTAGTGGGTAAGTGAATCCCATAATATTGCACTGAGGAATACCAAACCCAAACAAGCCCAGATCTGATCCCTTGGTCTATTCTGTCTGGTCTGATCTCACTTGTGATCTCAGTGGTGCCAAAATTGGCCTTTAGCGGGGATCCCATTCCTAATCATTAATAAGTGACCACTGCCATCAGGTAAGAACTGAATTAGGTTGAGCTATGATGCCTCTCAAGGTTGATCAGTCGACTCCTTTGAACCTTTTATCCGCTCTCTGACCAAGTCTGCTTTCCTCCATCTCCATAATACAATCCACCTCTGCCATTACCTCACATGCCCCTGATATACAGCTGAAAGTCTCACCTGTGCCTTTGTCCCCCTATACGTGACTTTTCCTTGCTCGTTGGCCTCTGTTCTACCCTCCACATGCAGACCATAGAGGAGGGAGTTTCTCTTGGGAGTCCTGGCCAACAAACCCTCAAACAAAGTTGGTCATTCACTTCACGGCTGTCTGTGAGACACTACTGTGCACAAATTGGCTGTTGCGTTTGCCTACAAAATACAGTCACTCCACTTTATGGCAAATCCTGTGAAGTGCTTTGAGACATTCTCTGGTATGAATGATCCTATATATTAAATTATTATAATTTTACAGCCCACTTTCCCTTCCATACTTGGCTCACCTCCCCCATACTCACCAGACTCCATTGGCAGCCATTGCCCCAGTGGATTAACTTTAAGATTCTCATCACCTTTGAATGCCTCCATGCCTTTCTCCACTGTGCAATCTCCAGCAATCCTCCTCCCACACCCATCCCCTCCAATCCACTAACCCCAGCCTGTTTCATGTCATTATCTGCTCTGCCCATCTTTGACAGGTGAGCTCTCGGCCACTTTGCCCCACCCTCTGAAACTCTCTTCCCAAATTCCTGCCCCTTCCCCCACCCCCCCCATCCTGGCCTTCAAAACCCGTCTTAAAAACCTGTCTGACTGTGCCTTCAGCCACGACCCTACCCATATGCCCCTGTTCAGGCTCCCACTCTGTCTTTGTTTTGAGATGTCTCTCTACATATTGCAATATAATTTACATTTAGATAGCGACTTTCATATCAGGAGACGTTGCAAAACATTTCACACTGCTCGCTAGGCACCTGAGCTAGGGTGTGCGCTGAGGGGTTGAGGAGGAGAATGAATGATTTTTGACTGATAGCACGGTCAAAGGTGTACATCTTGAAATGGACTCTAATGAGGTGAGGGTCTCTGGGGTGGAATTCGAGAGAATGAGGCAGAATGGCTGACAGCCTGCCCGCCGATGGTGGGCTGGATAGAGCGGGGAATGTGAATATCAAGTGTAAATTTTTGTTGGAGCAGGGGTTGCTTTTTTCTACTTCAGAGCAATTTGTACAAGCTTTAAATGTTAGTAGTGGGGCAAGCAGGTGGAGCTGGGATTTAAGGAGAGGGGTGGGGATGGGGTCCAGGGAGCAGGTGGTGGGCCGCATGGAGGATATGGTGATGAAGACAGAGGAGGGGTTGACAGGTTCAAAGGTGTGGAAGGAGGGATGGGTAATTGTCAGAGTGTGGGGTGGGGGTAGGGAAGGGGTGGAAGTTGGGAGGGCAGTGGCAGCTGAGCGGATTCCCTTGATTTTGGACTCGAGGAAGTCCATCATTTTCTCGCAGTGAGAGTCAGAGGATAGAATCTGAGCCTCCTCCTGCCTTTCCTCAACTAAGCCTTCAAGCATAACCTTCTATTCCTTTCTACCTCAAGTACCTATCTAGCTTCCCCTTAAATACATCTATGCTATTTGCCTCAACAACTCCTTGTGGTAGCATGTTCCACATTCCCACTTCTCTTTGTGTAAAGAAATTTCTTCTAGCTTACCTATTTGAATCTATTTGCGACTATTTTATATTGATGCCCCTGGTTTTGGTCTCCCCCACAAGTGGAAACATCTTCCCTATGTCTTCCCTATCAAAACCTTTCATCATTTTAAAGACCTCTATCAGGTCACCCCTTACCCTCCTTTTTTCAAGAAAAAAGAGTCCAAGCACGTGTAGCCTTTCCTGATGGGTATAACCTCTCAGTTCTGGGATCAACCTTGTGAATCTCCTTTGCACCCTCTCCAGTGCCTCTACATCCCTTCTATAATGTGGGGACCAGAACTGCACACAGTATTCTAAGTGTGGTCTAACCAAGGTTCTATAGATAAATTCTGTTGCTTTTCATTTCTATCCCTCTAGAAATACCTGGTTTGCTTTTTTTTATAGCCTTATTAACCTGCATTGCTACGTTTAGTGAATTGTGTATGTGTACCCCTAGATCCCTTTGCTCCTCTACCCCATTTAGGTTTTTATTTTCCAGGATGTGTGTGACTTCCTTATGCCTGCTACCGAAATGTACCACCTCACACTTTTCTACATTGAAATGCATTTGCCGTTGAAATGACCATTCAGAAAGTTTATTAATGTCTTGCTGTAATTTGTTGCAGTCCTCCTCTGTATTAACTACTCCACCAATTTGGTGTCATCCGCAAATTTTGAAAGTGTACGGCTAATTCCCGAGTCCAAATCATTAATGTATATTGTGAAGAACAGTGGTCCCAATACCGATTCTGGTGGAACACCACTGCCCACCCCCTGCCAGTCTGAGTAGCTACCCTTTACCCCTACTCTCTGTTTTCTGTTTTGTAGCCAGCTTGCTATCCATTCTGCCATTTTTCCCCTGACTCCACACGCTCTGATCTTATTCATTAGTCTGTTATGTGGTACCTTATTGAACACCTTTTGGAAATCTAAATATATTACATCTACCACATTACCCTTGTCTACTCTTTCTGTTACCCCTTCAAAGAATTCAATGATTTTGGTCAAGCATGACTTTCCTTTTTGAAATCTGTGCTGACTATTCCTTATTATGTTTTCCGTTTCTAGATATTTTTCTATTACCTCCTTCGGTAAGGATTCCATTATCTTTCCTACCACCGCTGTTAAGATGACAGGTCTATAGTTCCCTAGGCTTGTTGTATCTCCTTTTTAAAATATAGGTATAACATTAGCCATCCTCTGGCACTATTCCCTTTTCTAATGAGCTATTATATATGTGTAATAGTGCCTCTGCTATCTCTTCCCTCGATTCTTTTAATATACACGGATGCAATCCATCTGGACCAGGATTTTTATCCTCTCTGAGTTTTGTTAGTTTTTCGATTATATCTCCCCTTTGTATCTTAAATGTATCCATATTATTTTCAATCTCTTCTTCTACTGTTATGTCCACCTGATCCATCTTCCGGGTGAATATTGAGGCAAAGTAATTATTTAATATTTCTGCCGTTTCGCTATCACGGCCTGTGAGCTTACCTTGTCCATCCCTTAATGGCCCTGTTCCTATTTTGATTTTTCTTTTGTTATTTTCTATGTCTGTAGAGTACTTTACTATTTATTTTTATATTCCCAGTATCACAAGTATCACTTCCATTCTGCACTACCAAGAACAGTTTCCATTTAATTTCCTTGTGAAG